ACAGTGACGACACGCCGACCGGAGATATTGCTCGTTTCATCGATGCCCGGACCTTACGATACATTATACGCGAGGTGCGTTTCCACGACGGCCCATTCGATGGATTTGCGCGTTTGAGGTGCCAAGTATTTATCACTCGCGAGTTTGTCTCTGCGCAAAACGAGATGTAACATATGCCGATTGATGATATTGAGAAACAAAATATACCTATGCGCGATGATGTTGTACACCTGTGAGTGGACGAGGAAAGAGCTCCGTTGGTTGTGTATTGTACTGTGGAGCTTTTCGCACCTTTTTCGAAAAATCATTGGCGAAATATCGCGAGGACCGTCCCTATGGGAAAAGGAAAAGAGAGGCGATAAATCATTGTTCCATCGAGCCGTTCTCGCTTGTACACGTTTATTTATCGAATGTAAATATTACTTTAGCGCGTGAAAAATGGGCCGCTGATAAAAAACGAGATTTAATCTTTGGGAGAACGCGCGTGTAAACATGTGTTATCGATCGTGAGTCATAAAGTTCACGTACACGCGTATGTACCTAAGCCCATACACCGTTCAAGTGGAGTGTAATATGGACAAACGAGAATGGGCATATATGTGTAGGTTCGCAAATTGACGAATCAATTAGTCGCGGTTCGATAAATCATGTGTACCTACCCGTGCCAGGCTGCGGGGAGAAAGTATACGAGTCGACGAATTCCCCGTCCTCGTAATCGCGATTTCAGTAGAAACAGACGATTATGGTCGGACCATGACGCGAATGGGTAAACATTTTTCAACGGCGCTATCAGCGCCTGTAGAAAAAGAAGAAGAAAAAAAAAACAAAAAAAAGCATATACATGGCCCAGAGCGAATGCCAATAACCCCTGGGTGTACCTGACAACTCCCATCGTCCGGAAAGGTGTACGGGCGACGACACTATCGCCGCTGCATCGGCGTCCGCGTGGAACGAGCTAATCATCGTCTCCTCCTATGCGGTCGTCGAGGTGCATTATGCGCGGCTTTCTAGCGGAGAGAAAACAACGTCGGTTGCATACGAACAATCGAGACTCCCGCGAGCCCAGGGCGCATTTTCACCGGGGCACTAAATCAGGGCGTTTCCCTCCTCCCTCGTCGATAAAAGGCTTTGCTGTTTTTCGCGCTGCATATGGGCAAAAAGGTGCGAATGACTTACGGTAGTTTTTTTTTTCCCCTCCTGCTTTGCTTGCAGTACCCGTCATTAACGTTGATAATGATTAATCTCTGGTACAGGCTACGGGTTTGGGTTCGCGGAATGAAAATGTTGGTGGCGATTTACGAGATTGGCGAGCTTTTTCAAAAATACCCGTTTATTTTGAATGCCCAAATACAGTGACCTCGGGGGTATGGGTATTGCGTTAATTTTGCCAAATTAGCCAGCTCGAGCAGGAGATGAAGCTCTTACGGTTTTTCTTTCTGTCATGCGGGGAGCTCCAAAGGGAGCGATTTTTTTCACTTTTCATCAATCCCAACAGTCCTTCTCAACAATGCCCACCGTCTTTTTTTTTTTTTTTTGCGTCAATCACCAAACACATTTTTGTAATAATGATTACGCAGTATCTTTGGGAGGGAGAAAAGGACCAACTCTTTTGCAGAGCTCAAAAGCGTCGAATCAGCAAAACGCCCGTGCAAAAAGAGAGCAACACAACGCGACAAAGAGTGATGGGAAACAAGGGTAAGAGCAGCGGAATGGAAGGAGGAGAAGATCAAAGGCCGCGGCAACACAACAACGGAGCAAGCAAAGCTGGAATCGTCGGGGAAGGAAACAAGCGGGCGTGGCAGTGGGAGGCTACAATTTCCAAATGGATATTGCCTACCTCCCTTCCCCCCTCGCCCTTTTTCCATCGTTACGCCACTGCACCCCGAAGTTGCGCAAAATCACAGGGGTATACACCGTACACTGGATTTTTTTTTGTCCCATTGTCTGCGCCGCGACATTTGAAGCTCGTTTGAGGCATTCAAAGCAGGAAAAGCACAGTAAAGTATATATAGTCACGTGCTCGTTTATACAAAATCGTACGTACACCTATACAGGAATACGCATTGTGTATATGCGAGTACAGGGACGGTGTCCGGGTGCGGAGAAAAAGTTGTAAATTGCGTGGAAAACTTTCTTGGACGCCAATGGTTACATGTTGAGTTTGCGCCAGTAGCCTTTTCCGCGTACCTCGTATTAAAAGTTACGGGGGAATAATTTGCATTTTTGCGCTGCTTGATAAAATAAAGCAAGTATATAACCATCGGCCGTGCCGAGATCAAATTAAAGGACGCGTATTGAGTTACACATACTTTATACAAGTACCACAAAAAGATGGTGCGCGTTCGAGCTGTAAGGAAGCCATTGGCGGAAGAAAAGGTGTCGTTTCGGCACATAATACATATACCTACATCCGTTGTTGTCGGACAATCGAGTTACACTTATTGCGCGTCATGAAACCGTTGCGCTCAATATTCGTATCGTACAACTTTATTCGTCATATACAATTGACGGGTTTTACGGTCTGGCGCAAGGTATACATCGGAAAAGTAAAAAATCGAGTTGGCTTTTACACTTTCACGTGCACGCACGCACGCGTTTGTAGCGAGTTTAATCATTACTTTGAAAATGTGTGTACGCACCGCAAAAAAATTACTCGAATAAAAAAAAAAGGGGGAGGGGGCAGGACAGTGCGTATACAACAGGCAAAGAGGGAGGTATACTCGTGATGAATCGCGCGCGGCGTCGGTGTGCTATTATTCTAATATGCGGTGGTCGGCCGAGAGCAGCACTGCATGCATATACCCACAAATGACGATGATGGTTGTCGTTGGATTAATGGCTCGGCGATGCACATATTATAGTTATAACTGCACAGAGAAGCAGCCGCGAGCGGAGTGTATATAAGACGCGTCCGCGTGCAGTAATTATTACACACGTCACTGTCGCGAAAAACTCGTGTCGCTCTCTCGCTGCAAAATGCCCGCTCTGGGCTATGTACGTACGTGTTTTTTTTTTTTTTTCTTTTCTTTCCTCCATATATACCATTTGCAGTACTTACTAATTATAATGCTCCCTCAAGAGATCAATGATGCTAAATTGCTGTCATGGCTCGGAAGGGTTAACATTAGGTACATATACAGCGTTGTCTTTATGCATATGTATGTATGAAAAGGACGTCGGAAGTACCAAAAACTTTAAGTAAAATTAAAGCTAAGATATATTTGTATCATCATGTACAATTTACTTAAAAAATTCTCTGAAACGATACCTGCACACATACCTAATAAATTATCGAAAAAGCGAGCGTAGCTTTATTGTACAAAGATTTGATCGGCAGTAGTGTTGATATTGACACATAAACATACACGTACGCAATAAAAAATCAATTATATAATTACGCGCAATTAATCGAGATCCGTATTGCAAATGATTTCTCTAATCACCGAGTAATGTATATCTCGTGATCCCCAAATAGCAAAGGAGAGAAAAGAGGCAATTCAATCGATGGCAAAATTATCCAAGCAGCCCCTCGAAATCGCACTGTGAATACAAAGGGACATAACCACATACGATACAGAAAGGCTTAACACTCGTGCGTATAAAACGTGCATCGAAATGTTGTCCAGAGCAAGTAATGAGGGGGTACCGAAAGTGCTTACCCAAACACACATCGGTATATCTTAATAACTCGGCAATTGGTGCGTACATATAGTACCAGAAGCACGTGCGATTGTTCCCAATGGGCGCGAACGTGTATACAGTGTAAACACCGAAAGGAGCCAAGCCTTTGAGATGCGTATAATACGTTTGAAGGAGTCATTGTTGCACGTAGCAAAGAATATGATATGTGGTATCGGTGCAAAAGGTATACATGTAGAGCCGAGACTCCTCTCCTCCACTAACGGTCCGTATTGATCCAAAATCCGATATGATTAATATGAGCACGACTGTGCAAGTATAATATTTGCATATACCTACAAGTGTGGAAGGGTTGAGGAAAGGATTTTAAATTGTGGTACTGTGTAGAGTAGTCCACATAGTCTATATCAAAGGCTCTCGTAGCGAAAAAAAAACAAAAACAAAAAAAAAACAGACTTTTCAAGGGTCATTTCAACCACACCCTTTAACAAGACGAATCTACGCGTGTATAGGCTCTGTCGAATCTTGTACAACTTTTAAGTCGCGTAAGCTGTGTACCTATACCTAACAACAACGGAAACCTATACACAACAACTGACTGGCGATTTCCCTCTCTCTTTTATTGTGTACTAACTCCTTGTAAGCAGGAGAGGGACAAAAATTTTTCCAATTATCGCGTCAGCTTAGCGACCGTGTACGAGCTATACGAAGTGTAAGAAGAGTATGTACTAGCTCTTGTGGGTGACTGGGTGGTATCGGAGGAACATCGTTTTGGGGTACACATCAACTTACTTACACCGACACACGTATGAGCGGCTCTCTTTACCAGATAAAAGTCAAGGGGAGCCTCTTCACTATACATATAGAAGCGATCTTTCACCTCTTGAGTGTAACTGTGTCTATGTAGGTGCAAGCGTGTGTGTGTTTTTTGGACAATTTCAATCGAGAGTCTCATGAAACTTTGCTTTGTTATACTGTTATTGTGACGAGAATTTGAGTGGGGTTTCGTGGGATGGATGACTTTTTTGGGGCATGTTGAAAGCTATATGTTAAGTGGGAAACGACACAAGGAGTTCGCTATTAATAATACATATTATATGTATTTGTATCGTTGTAATGCCTATATAGTACATGCAGTGACCTAAATATTTCAACGAGCTGCTTTGTCAGTATTACCAGAGCATGTTGATTCAAAACTACTTACGGAGATAATTGCTAAAAAACCATGAAGGGCAGTATGACCAGGATTGATTTTAACGTACAAAAAGTCAAATGAAAAGCCAACCTTGTAATAATTAAGGTAGAATACATGCTCGCAAAAAAGAAAAGAAAGAGGAAAAGAACCATCAAAACCCACTCACCACTGCGTTTGGTATGAAAGTGGGCGTCGCGGGTCCTGGGTCATCCTCGCTCGCCTCCTCGCCCCTATCACCCCCACTAGGTGGCTCCTGGCAGGTTTCAGCGATCAGAGTGTCGCTCGAGTTCAGGCTCCCGTTGTCCTCGGTCCTAGCGTCAGCCGCACCGCACCCAACATCGTCCCTGGCGTCCTCGTACAACGAGCCCCGGCTGCCAACCCTCCTGACGGCGCTCGGCTTGCACAGCTCGAACAGCTCCTCGGGCCGTATCTCCCCCTCGTCCCCATCCTCCTCCTCCTCTCCGTCTTCCTCCTCGCTCTTAGGGTCTTTCTTGTCGACGTACCAGGAGGTCTGAGGTGGGCCCGGGGCTCTCTTGCGCTCGCAGGACGTCTCGTCACCCCTGATGGTCAGGGCGCCCTTGCACCGCTTCAGGTAGCTCTTGACGCGTCTGCTCTTGCTCTTGCGGGTCTCGTGAGCTCGAGCCGGCAACTGCTGCTCGCTGTTGATGGCTTCGTTGGGTTTGCCGTCCGAGACTTTGGGCTGGTTGTGGCTGTCGTTTGGCTGTTCGACCGCCAAGCTCCAGGTCTCGGTTTCCTTGTCGGCCGGCGGAGCGCGACGATCTGCTGGTATCACCTGTGAACACAAAAAATACCGTGGAACGTTTTGAGACGTCGAGGACGATAATTGGTTGAGGTTTCGAGCAGTTGTTTGTTTTTTTTTTTTCCTACCAACTAGTCTTTTGGGGAAGATTGGAGGGAATGACAACGACAATTGATACCCACACTTCATTTATTAAAATACTGATTTTATGATTGAAAAATGCACAAGTTGTTGCAGTACACTGTAAAATTGTGAAAAAAAAAAAAAAAAAAATTCGTCCTGATGAAGAAAATAGAGGAGGGACATATTGCTCGAAGACCATCAGATTTAGTTGAATTAATTTGGTCATAGTATAAGGAAACTTTGCTCTTGGCGGGTTTACATGACACACATTTCCGAAATGCCGAGACAATAGCAAGGACAATAGTGTGGGGACTCAAACTCTTTCGAGGATACATAAGTTTGTATCTCTACCATCCGACCCACACTAACGGCGGTTCATCAAGGATTACACGAATGAACACACGAGTCATGCACGTGCTGTACCAATCATGTATACTTACATACACCCATCGCGTGTTGTATACCCACGACAAATATACGTAAGAGAGGTATAGGCTGAGCGGAAAATTTAATCGCACAAACACGCGGCATCAAGTGGGTGCACACTCCTCCACGGAAGCGTCAGCCATAGCCGACACTTGAGCCCAAAAGTAAAAAAAAAAAAAAAAAAAGAAGAAAAAAGTTCATTTACCTCGGCAAAGCCGCTTATATACGCGTATGTATATGTACACACACCTACAGACACGCATAGTCAAAGGAAAGAGAGGCACCGCTTAACGGGCAGGCAGGAGGAGGCGCTCGTTTAGAAATTTGACGTCAGCCTTGAGGTACTATCCGTGTCGAAAAGAGGCTGTGTAGGAACAAACCGGCCGTCTACCACGTGCCGGAAGTGGAAACTACTTACTCGACGGACAAGCCGATTAGAGGGTGGTTTTCGCGCACCTCTCCAACCATAAATATATACTAGTACTTTTCACGGCAACCAACTTGTTTTTAAGGATGCGGTTGTGTACGGCTGTAGATGTAGACACTGAAACACAAGTCCCCCCCCCGCCCTCAGCATCTATGGTATACCGTTGTGTGTCTCTGCCGTGCCAACGAGGAGAAATTCTGTTGTAAGTAGCTGTTTAATGCGTCGAACCGAACATCCGAGCTGTTTCGCGCTCTTTTGGAACCAATGCTTCCGATTGTATCTACGGCAGAGCCCTAGAGTGTACTTTTTCGCGATTCCTGGGGTGGGGAATGAAAATTACGGCCACACGGGCAAGAGAACGTATAGGTACTAGATGCGAGAGGCTGCTGGGAATCTCGGCCGATGGGTCAGCGATAATAGACGATAGGCGTGGGACCGAGAAACACGCGCGCCTCGGCCCCCAAAGATTTGATAGCCGAGCTTTTCGACCGATAAGGAAATATTATCTCGATTCAGGCTCGAAGTTGACTGACACTTTTGGACTCTCGGTATACATCATCCGATGCACGCATGGTTGTACCTATAAATATGTGGGATTTTGATACATCACAGCGGGTACGGACATCGTTACTTGGGGAAAATCCAATGTGGACTTTGGATTTGTTTTGGTTGGTGATGAACGAAGGGTGTGGATGTACAAATGAAGCGACGAAAACCGCGGAAAACCGAACCAGAAAAGGAGTGTGTGCTCAAAACTTTTTCGCCGCTCCCTCTTTCGGCCACACTCGTTCAAACGCGTCACCGGCAGATACCTACGGTACAAAAACGTCCCCCAACTTTCTTTTTTTTTTTTTCCCTTCTTTCTCCCTTCTTTCCTCTCGAAATAATCCTGTAGCTATATGTGTGTGTCCACAGTATGGATTCAGGCATCACGTACCCATAGAAGGAAAGTTTGGCGCACTTCTTTCCCTCCGACCCCTTGTTTTGTACAGAGTGGAGGAGGGAAGACGCGTCCTAAGATGAAAAGGACGGACGTCGAGAGGTGAAAAATAGATGGGTGTTCCGCATAGAGGACACAGTCACACGCGTGAAGATCGCTCGGAAAGTTTGAAGGGAAGACGAAGTTGAAACTTGGTCCTCTCTTTAATAAGGTGTATTATTTCTTTCGCCACACGGAAAAATACACAAAGGAGTCGAGGTCGGGGAAAAACAATAAGCTACGCAGCGAATTTCGCCCCACGAGCACAATAACCGCAAAGCTCTCTCTTTCTCTCCCGGGACCCAGACGGAATTAACTTTTCATACGCGGCTGCGCGACGATCGATCGCGTATACGTGACGAGTTCTCCCCGAGTTTGCAACAGAGGCCACGATACAGAGAAAAGGGAAAGGGGTCGGAGGGTTTACCTCGGCTCTTCCTCCTGGGGGGCTGTGTTATTTTGGGCTTCCTTCCTTCCTTTGTATGCCCACCTATACAAATGTGTAAACACAAATGTTCCCTCTAGGAACGAGCGTGTACCCATAAACTCGGAGGTCTTTGCAATACCGAAGCAATATGCGCATATTATTACGGGTGGTTATTGACATTTGCGTGGGTATTTTCGTAGCTCGGGTGGGCGTTTCAAAAGGTAAAATTAATCAAACGAGCATTAAAATGCATTCCGACGAAAGGATATACTAATGACCCACGTACGTGTATAGCTATACTTATATTATACAGGACCTGTTGGACTCCCAAGGATTGAGCCTTTTTTTCCTCACTCTTTCGATTCGCAAAAGTGAAAGCCCATGGCCCATCTCGCGAGTAAATATACACGCGTATACCACGCTAATGGACCCTCGAGAGTTACGGTCTCGCGGATTTGTTTGATATTATATCCTCTGTGCTCTTTTTCCTTCTTCCCCTCTCCCTCTCTCGCACAGCTCCGTTTTTTTTTTTTTTTTTTCTGTTGACCAACGACAGCTCGGTGTTGATTCATCATTCGGATAAGCTCAATTATGCGTCAGGTTTCGGCTCTCGTTACCCTTTTAACGTACACCGAGCTTTGCCGAAATGATTTCCCGAGGAATCGGTGGTGCAGCGTCAGCGGTACATACGCCTTTGATGCTCGTTCACCGAAATAATTGAAACCGAAAGATGAATAAACAACCAGTGATGCAACACACGTATGTACATACGTATATACACAGGTGTGTAGGCATAAAATACATGAGCTTCGGGATCTATGAGAACGCGGTCGCTGGGCCGCCTCGCACTTTTTTAAACCCAACTCTCTGAACACGATACCCTTTGCCACAGAATGGAAAGGCAGGAAAAATCTCAGCTCATATACTTATACACACGGTGGGCCACGACGCGGTCGCTGCAGTTTCGCACATTAATCAAGAGGCGCTCGCGAGTCGCGCGTCTTCCTTCCCTTGCCCCGTTCAGACACACACACACACACACACACACACACACACACACACACACACACACACACACACACAATTACACACCTACATATATTATATTTATACTCACGTGTTGGGGCTGGCACACAATTTACAGCCAGCCCGTGCTGACGTAACGCGCTCCGTGGCGAAAGTATATATAGGTATGTACACAATCCACGTGTATATCGATGTTGAGAGGAAGAGGGTGGGGGGGGGCTTATCAAGCGTCGCATCGGTGCCAAGATGAAGATAAGGTCGCGCGAGAGCGTATATAATATGAGTACGAGCGGTGCAGGCCGACGAGGTGATGGTAGCGAAGGAGAGAAGTGTATAATGCGAAGGGAGTGGAAGGAGCAGCTGATGTTGAACTTACATCGCGCGCGCACGTGTGCCAGATGGAGATGAGGGATGACCGAGGATGCTGCTGGTGAGAATAAAGAACGATGGACTCTGGGGGGCAGCGTGGTGTGGTCGTTGCTTTGGTGGAGGGAACGTAATGACGTGTTGGGGGGGGGGGGCAGATTGTTATATTAGGAAGGAAATAGCATATCGGGGCCCTTTACAGGGGGAAGTCGAGATAACAACCCATGCCCCGGCGCACAGTCTTACAGAGAACCGTAAAACCCTTGTCCCTCCTTGGCGGAGTCGTCGCTTGTAGGCGTCGCTATACCCATACACTTGCCAAGTTTATGCGTCTACGCCCGGCATGAGGGCTGATAAATCACGGGGAGGGAAGAGGAGAGGTTGAAGCTACACTCTACGCTTTTGGGAGAGGGTGGAGGGACAAAAGTTACGTGCCCGCGTTCGTGCGTTACGGTAATTTTTTAGTGCTGTCTGGGAAACGGTGCGGACGTGTTTACGTGCTTCGGGATATAGGAAGGCCGAATTTACCCGTAGTACCTATGCTCGGAAGGATAGAATTTTTATTGTCAACAACTCAATGATTACTTGGGGCGATGTTGATTTGTGGGTTGATCGAGTTTGCGCGTTTTAATTAAAATTATATAGTGTATTGGGAAAAAAAAAAAAAACATAAATTTCATTAACTTTCGGGGCCCAATGACGATACATCACGCGTTTAATTACTTATACCTTTCCATCCGCTCGGCGCGCGCGTGACGCAACAACAATAAAAAAATCACTCACGTGCCCCGGCTAATGATGTATTAATTTTATCAACGTGAGGCCCAGACCCGCACTGCGCACAGTGGAAAAACTGTTTAACCAGCCATTAGAGTCAAAGAAATTGTATATGAAAAAAAAAAAAAAAATAGAATGTATCACACAACGCGAGCGTTCACGTAATACGTAATATATCAAAGTAGAAAACAGCCGAGTCTGGTCAGACATGCATCATACTTTGATAGCTTCGACAATATATTATATACATTCACGATGTGTATTTATAATAATATAAACACACACACGTGTGTGTGTGCATATACACGTGCTTATACGTCAATTAATGAATTATAAGCTCTTTTTCCTTTTCACCATCTTTCGGTACAATACATAACACACGGGCTCGCGAATCCGTACCCACGAGCTTCGTGAGACAATTTATGTTTCGGGTTGTTTCGGGCGCCCATAAATTATTCACCCTATTATTACAAAATAGCGTC